CATGCCTCTTCGTCCTCCCTTGAGTGAAGTCCGATTCTCCCATTACCCATCATCGTGAACAATTAGCTGTGTAATTGGGATGGTCGAATCAATGTGGTGAAAGCGGAAAGCACACACCACTTGAACAACCACCCCAATCACACCGAGCATTCGACTTGCATCCTTTGATCCTTCAGGAACCCTGGCCCTTCTTTTGTCCTGCTCACCTACACCTCGTGCTACCCGCACCACACGCTGACACCCCACCGCCTTCCGCGCTATAAATTCTCGCAACCCCTTCCTCTCCTCCTCTTTAATCTCGGTTGCAATGCTGCGCGAGCTATGCGCGAGGTTTGCGGCGTCGAACAGGCTCGACGAGCCCAAGTGACGGGCAGAGTGATGACGTGGGGCGGGCTTAGCGATAGACTTGGGGTAAGACAGTCGGAGGGACTGAGCGGTGGTGGAAATCGGACGCCCGCAGCGGCAGGGCCTTGTGGCTATGGTTGTCAGTGGTTCTGACGGACTGGGGCTGGGCCCAGGGCGGTCAGCCATGTGAGAAATTTTGTATGTTGCACAACTCGCTTTTATCTCCATTGCTGCTTTGTCCAAGTATGATGTGTGCAAGGTCCCGACGCATGGGTGTTCCGTTGTATGCATGTTGTGGTACAAGAGTCTATGGATGTTGAATGTCTCACTGACCAAGATGGCTGAATGAGTAGATGTGTGGGCGCTTATAGGCACGTTTGGTGGGTGTCAACCGTCTGCATGGATGCATGAGTGTGTTGGATCTTCCTCCCTTCCCTGACCCCTTTTTACGATCTTAACGCCTCGTATAGGCGCGGGACTGGCGCCAACTCCTTCCCTTACTCTCCCCCTTTGTGCGCGCAGGAAATCCGGGCGAACGGGCTGGTGTCGCCCCCACGAATTACATTCGATAACTGGAGAGATCATTTGCTCGCGTCTCCGCGACTCGACAAGACCAAGGATCCCCGACCCGGCATTCAGCTTGATGCAGATAGAGATAGAGAGAGGGAGAGAGAGAGGTGAGTTTCACTGATCTTTGCATGGAGCCAACGTTCGTCTTGCCGGACGTGAGCGCGGCCCCTTGCCCGTGCTCAACCTTCGTATCGGTCCATCGCAGTGTGCTGCCGACCTTCTCGATCGCAGACAACGATAGCGTGTACTGTGGCGCGGATGTGCGGACTCCGCCTTTCAACAGGGCACGAGTGTCATGGAACAGTCTCTGACAATGCAAATTTGAACGCAATTCTCGAAAGGTCGGCGGGCCACTGTCAAATTTCCGCCACCTCCAGGCGGGAGGAAATGATTGTTGGAGGGCGGTTGTCGAAAGTACCATTCTGACACGTGTCAAAAAAATTTTGAGCCACAATTCTTCGAAAGTTTGTGTGGCGATGCAAAATTGTCGAAAACCTGGTTTTCAACACCCTGTGTGGCGAGCCTTCAAGGGCCTCGCCACACCACTCCCGACTTGGGAAAATTTTTGGGAGTGCTCCTGGAAGTGAAAACCCGCTCGGGAGTGTCTTTCGTCACACTACACTCTCGACCCGGTCGCGCTCCAAGTCCGAAAATGTCATTTGCCACATGTGGACAAGATCGGTGTGAGGCAGTCTGGCTGAAGTCGTTTGTCCCTTCCAGCTCCACTCCCGAATCTGGGATGAAACTCGGAGGAGTGAAGGGGCCTCGCCACACCTATCCCAAAAACATGGTTTTCAAGAGGGGAAGCATCACCACACCTACTCTGCAAACCCATTGTCTTGAAAAAGTTGGACAGCGGTCAGAACGCGGTTGGAGAGAGCGTTCCTGAACTTTTCGGGAGTGCCCGCCTGCAAAGAGGCCGTTTTGGAGAGCCGTTCGAAGCGAACCCGATTTCGGCCCGAATTTCGAGAGTGTGCCGCGACGGACAAGTGTTTTGTAATGTTTGGTTCAAGAAAACTCTCGAACCGAGGCCTCGGTCCACCACTCACCACATGCACAAAAGACAAAAAATATGGCGGTGTATCTTTCCATGGTCTACCAGAAGATTCATTCTCATTTTGCACATTTGGTGAGTAATGGAGCAAGGCCCTTGCACCGCCACACTGCACTCTCAAAAAATGTCGTTCTTTTCTGACACAGTGGAGAGCGCCCCCTTCGAGAGCGCAGTGCGGCGATGAGGCCCTCAAACCGTTTTTCGCGATTTCCCCAGTTCGAGAGTGCTCTCAAACTTTTTACCGTTTTCGGGATAGGTGTGGCGAGGCCCAAGGTCTCTCGAAAAGGCAGCTTTGCAAGCGTGCTCTCGGGAGCCACATTCTTACAGCTCCCGAATTCAATCTGACAGGTTGAACTCTGGAGCTGGTGTGGCGATGCTGCACTCCCCGGGAGTAGTGTGGCGAGGCCCTAACTATCCGCTCTAGGAGAGTCCAAGGGCCTCACTGCACTACTTTCCAAGTCATGAGTGCACTAGCAGACACCAGGACAGAGCTAGAGGACACGACGGGATTTGCATTTGTCCGCCAAGACAGGAGGCACACTCTCCCAATTGGGAGCATTTTGGAGAGTCCAGCAGAGACGAGCTAGAGGACACGACGGGATTTGCATTTGTCCTCCCCGACTGGAGGCACACTCTCCCAATTGGGAGCATTTTGGAGAGTCCAGCAGAGGCTCATCAAGGGGCGTAAAGCGGAGGTTCTGATTGGACGTGACTTTTGGCGGCAACCTCGACTTCAGTCGGCAGTTCAGAAATGGAATCTCACCTTGGTTCTTGAATAGGACCCAGTAGTGGGGCCAGCTCGGATGGCACTTCGCCATGATGGATAGTAGCCTAGAGCACTCATCGCACTTTGTTTTTCCACTTCGCCTCTTGCCGCACATGCCCGGCTGAGTGGCACGTTCCTACACGGTGAGCGACAAGCTGTGAGTTTTCATCTGGAGGTTTTTCCCCTTCCCACGAGGAAAAAAGTTATTTTTCAGGGCTAAGGTGAGTACTCGAAACTAAAACTAAATGAATAGGGTAGGAAAAGAGGGAAGGTTCAGCGAGTGAGTTGGGAGAGTTTTTCTTATGCTTTGGAGGCTACAGTTGAAGGTTACTATTTAAGGATTGAAGGGGAATAATGAGGTCTCTTACTTGAAAGCATTGTCGACTCGATTTGAGGTGACGCTTCGTTTGCGCTAACTGGAAGACGAGTTAGGCAGCGCCTTGACGAGAGCGGCAACTCGGTAGCTGAGCGGCAGGGGGTCGCTTCGAAGCAGTCTAGGAATTAGGTTGATTTTGATAGGAAAAGCGACCAGGATCAAACACTAGGCTCGGAGTCGCTCAATATTGGTGGTGAACTAATGCGCGGACAAAGCTATTTAGGAAGTAGAAAGGAAGGCTCCGGCCTTTTCAAGTCCTTCAGCGGTCGGCTTCGGCTGGCCGCAAGGCGCAGAGAACAGGAAGGTAAGTACGGTTGGAGCGTGGCGAGGGGAGTGAGAAAGTAGCGATGGTGGAAGTGGGTGAACGTCAGAAGAGTAAGGTGGTCTTGCAAGAATTATCCAGTGAGTTCTGCTCCAAACCACTTAACTCTTACTTGGAACTTTACCAACTTGAATTGAGGCGGGGTTTCGCTTGCGCTAGGAGGAAGGCGAGATAGGTCGCGCCATGACGTGAGCAGACAACTCGGATCTACGCGGATCGCGTCGAAGCAGTCCACGAATTAGGCTGATGAAAGTAATGTGGATCCGACTTTCGGAGTTCTACGGAAGGTTCGAAAGTTGCTCTGTATGGGTGAGGAACTGACGCGCAGTCGGAGCTGTTAAGGTGGTAGAAAGAAAAGGGGGCGTTTTCGAGTTTCTCAGCGGTCGACTTCGGCCGGCTGCAAGGCGCAGACAACACGAAGGTAAGTACGATTGGAACTACGACTGGGGAGGAGTAAGGTGGTAGAGATGGTAGAGTGGACTCGCTTTAACTAAATGAATGAATGATTCTCCACTGCGAACGAAGGTGAACTTGGGGTTAGCGATGGTTATTTAGAGAAAGTTTGCAAAGATCGCTTCGAATTCGGTACGGGGCGAATCGGATTATAACCTGGCAGATCATTCTTAGGGGAAGTACCAGGGCGCTCGCTTCGAAAGGGGATTAAGTCGCGATCGACAGATGTTAAGGGTGGGATAATCACTCTCGGATTCGATTTAGACTTTCGAAGGGGCGGGAGTGGACGATCGTAGGGCGCAAAGAGGGAAAGGGGATTTGGAATCGGAATCGAAAGAAGGGAAGACAGGAACGCGATAGGGAACGATTGTCGGAGAAGGGAGTATGGATTAACGGCGTAATTGATCGTCCGCAATCTTCGTTTCGAATGACCTTGCGAACGTCCGATCTGAACGAGGCGGTTGAGAGCGCAGTTCAGATCTATTGGGGAGATATCGACTTCGATTGAGTGAAGCACGGGATACCGACGGGAGTAAGTGATCGGGAACAAGATTGATCGGCGAATCCGAAGAGGTGCGCAGATCTGAATTGGGAAGGGTTTAGGTCAAGGAGTAGCAAACCTCTATGGTTCAGGAGTCGGGGAGCAATTTGGATATCGGCGAGAAGGAGAGGGGGTGAAGTGGGTTGATTCAAGGAAGGAGGAGGGAATGTCGAAAGCACGATAGATTGACTTGACAGTTGATTCTGCCAGGCAGAGGGAAGATAATTCGACGAAGAAGTGGAACGAAGGGGATCGTTCTTTGATATAAGACTGCTTTATACGATTGGGTAGGGCAACGGATGTGAGAATCTGCGAGATGCGATTTGGAAGAAGAGAAGCGAGGAAGTAATTCCGTTAGATTAAGGGTGGCTAAAAGGCTTCGACTAAACTAGGAACCCGTTCTTGCGACCTAAAGAGGATACAACGACGGAGGTAAGTATTAGTCGAAGCCTTTGGAGTGGGGAAGTGCGAAGGGGATTTAGCCGAATCATCCGAAGAGAGGGGACTGAACAAAAGGGAAGATCGAGAATACACCGAGGCTAAAGTTTCGGATCAGCCTTTGGCGATTTGAGGTCGAGAAGGAATTCAGCAGTCTCCAATTGCTTGAAGAAGGGTAAGGTAAGGGAGTGGAGGAATAGAGAAAGAGGGAAGCCGTGGCTATTCTATTCCAAAAAAAAAAAAAAAAAAGATTCTAAGAAGATTCGACTGTCCAGTTTTTTCGCAATGATGATGAGTTTGGCCTTTGCAGTAGGAGGGGGTGGAGATTGGAGTACTGTGGTTCCGCGATCTTCAATCGACGTTTATGGAGACGATGCAGGAGAAGTCTTAGTGAGGGCGTTGGAGGGAATGAGTGTGGTAGACAAAGGAATGACTTCCAACCTCGTGTTTGACTCGGAGCTGTCTAATCTGAGGATTCTTGATCGATTGAATGGTACGCTTTTACCACTCAAAAGATCTAACATTTTTCGCAGTTGGAGTGGGGAGAAGTTGCGGGCAAGCTTTGGGCGAGCACACAGACTTGGATCGAGGGAAGGATTAGATGTCCTATTTGAATTTTTCAATCGTAATTCCTTTTGTGTCGTGGAAAAGTTAAGCGGCAGGGGAAGATTTTGGGTGGCCGAGAGGGGGGTGGTAGAGAGAATGCTTGATCATTGGATCCTCGGTGAACTACTCGCAAGATTTGCGGTGGCAATAATTTTTGGGAAAACGGTGGACGAGCTGGAAGAAGCGGAGTTGGGTTTGGTGAATGAATCTTGTGAGGCTGAATCCAAAGCCTGGAAAGGGAGAGGAAGGTAGGAGTTTGTGGCACTGGGATTGATCATAGCCTTTGTCGGGAGTTCAAGGAAGGAACTGGTTGCGGGTCTCCTGAAGGGAATAGAGGCTATCGAATGGGAAAGATGTGGAATTTCGCAGATCATAATGCTTATCACGAAGACTTGTTCAAGTTTGGTGAAGGAGCTTGGATCACAAGCTTAGGGTGTAAGAGGCTCGGGTCGGATTTAAACTCTATTTTTGCTGGAGGAGGAGGGTGCCGAATGTGCGCCTAGTCTTCATTCCCCTTCAGACTGCGTCAGAACAGGGTGGGGAGGATCTCGGAGAGTCTCGTAGAAAACGTCCAAACTCCGAGCAATTCTGCTAACCTCCTCGAAAATCGAGTCCTCTAAATCCCCCCCCGGAATCTGGAAGATGCCTAGATGTATCTTAAGATTTTCATGCCTCGCTCTAATAAAACTTGTTCTCCAAACTTGGATCCTTCTATGAACTTTGTCATGCATTTGTTAAAAGTACTCTTCCTGTAACGAGCGTGAGGCTAAGGGTGAGCCGAGGGAGAGGAGAGAGAGGGAGAGAGGGAGAGCACACACACACACACTCACTCACTCGACACGACGGACTCGGACGCAGACACAGTGGCAAGGCACAAAGTCGAAGTATTGGATTCCGAATGTCGAAACAGCAAGTCACACTGAGTACGAGTACAGCAGCAGAGAACTGGTACGAGACTGGTCCCCGTACCGTACGGGGAGCCGGTATAAGTACCGGTGGCACGTACGGTACCAGGGGCATTTTTGCAAAGGCCCTGAGGGCAGAACTGAAAAATGCAGTATTTGAAAGTGGCGCCTGAATTGCAGCATGGCGCCATTTGTCCAAGATCCTACGGTACCAAGGAGGGGTTTGGAAAAGGGTGCCAGGGCGAAAACGGGATGCAGCCGAAACAGCAAAAAGATAGACCAGGGATCGAGCCCTGGCGAAGTCCGTAACACTATCCCCTCCCTCTAGAAGGCAACGTCCCGGCTGCCAAAAATCATGAAGCAATGCTGAAATCTGTGAAGGACGGGACGGAGCCGATCACTGGTTAACAAGTCGAAAGGGAAGAGGGGTATAATGTGGGTGGCATGGGCTGCGGGAGTAAGAGGGAACAGGGTTTGGTACCGGTGAACAGAGTTGTCCTACTGATGAACTAGGGGGGGTTGGAAGGAACAGGGTAGTCCTACAAATGAACTAAAGGGAAGATAGGGAGCAGGGTGGTCCTATTGATGAACTAAGGGGACTGCATGGTTCGCTATAGGTTAAGGGGGAACAGAGTTCAGGGAACAGGGAATTTCTATTGATGTTCTACTGGGTAAGGGAAACAATGGTCAGGGGAACAAGGGATGTCTATTGATGTTCTAGTGGGTACGGGGAACAATTGTTAGGGAAACAGGGATCTGCTAAATGATGTTCTACAGGGTTATCAAAGTTAGGAAAAATAAAGATGAAAATGTTTGTTTGGGATGCAAAGGCTGGTGTGTCCGAAGGAGTCGGAAGCAAAATCTCATGTAGGAACAAAGTGTCCAGGTGTCTTGAAAGGGCGTCTGCAGCGGTCTTGATCAGGTCTTTGGAGTAGATGGTAGAAGCGGTCTTTAGCAGCTGCAATAGGTAGAAGTCCAAGAAGCGTAGTAGTAGTTCGAGTGTCAAAGTCCAAGTGCTAGGGTGCGTCCGGTACACGAACTGCAATGAGGTCTGATCTGGAAGCGGGGAAGTCGCAGGCTGATGCAAAGATCCATGTCATAAGTTGCTGCTCCAGTAAGTTCGCGAGTCAGGACGGCGGCCAATGAAACAGCATGGTGGCCAAACCAGCTGCATAATCTCCATGAACAGTGAGGCAGAAGGCCATCGTCTTCGTGCGCTTGCCATTAGATCCTTTATCGYCGGCGTCACGCAAGTTCACAAGCATTGGACAAGAGAGACAAGGTAGTGGAGAGGACAAATGGGACAAGGCTAGGCGAGGGCAAGGGCAGATCAGACATCAGGAATGAGGATCAAGGGAAGGGTGAATTGGGTTCAAGGGTGTGTGTAGAGCAGGTTTGCCATAGTGATATAGGTATCTAGGACGTAGGATTAGCACGATCATAGGCGCGGACATAGGATTAGCACGATCATAGGCGCGGACAAGTTTCATGGCGTTCTTAAGATTAGAGAGAGGTTCCCATGTAGATTCTTCGTCGGGGTATCTGGTCCATTTGACTTTGTATTCAGTGATTGGTTCCGGATGATCAGATACCTGAGTGGTTCGTCGGCCGATGATGGTTTCKACAACGAATTCAGGGCCTGTGGGTAGCAYGAWTGGTRGAGGTCTAGGATAYGGGCGGTCGGYGAACTGGAGCGGGGATTCATGGTATTCTTTTAGGTACTCGACATGGAAGACTGGGTGGACAGTGTTCAGGTGGAGGGAGGAGTGGGAGTAGAAGGGCCGGGTCCCGTGGARCGAGGGGCCTGTCGAGTAAAGTGGCTAGCGTTGGGGCAGTTGGTCTGTTGATGACCTAACTGGGGGCAACGAAAACACCCGTTGTGTTCCTGGAGGTATATGCGTTCTGCGGGTGTGAGTTTTTAGAGGCGGCGGGGTGGAGAGGAAGAAGGCGGTCGAGAGGCACGATCCTGGCGTTCCATCCGTATAAGGTGGGCGGTCAGGAGGTCCTCGATGGTGAATTGGGAGGGGTTGAGAGAGGCAGTGTCGAAGTCGTCATCGGAGGTGGGTTAAGTGGTGTCATTATGGAAAAAGAGGGGGCGGGAGGGAGCGGGCGCGGACTGGTGATGGGGGTGGAGGAGTCGATCGTGGTGAAGCATGTGAGAGAGGAGGTCAGCAAGGGGCATGTCGGGTTCGTGGGCGAGGGCGGTGGCAAGATCTTTGTGGCATACTCGCTTGATGTGGGAGATGAACGCAAAGTCGGGAATGACGGTGGTGGGGAGGTGATGGCAGAGGGAGCGAATGTATTGGACGAAGCGGTCTGTGGGACCGGTTTGGCGGAGGTGGCAGAATTGTTCGAGGTAGTCGTCAATGGTTTTCTGGGGGCGGAAGGTGGCAGCGAGAAATTTGGCCCATTGGAGGAAGGAGTGACGTGGTCCTTCAGAGGCTCGGCGGTTGCTGACTTCAGCCATCCACCATTTGGCGGCATTGTCGAGGAGGCGGGAGGTAGCAATGAGGAGCCAGTGGGCAAGGGGCATGTGGTGGTGGAGGTGGTAGGAGTGGAGGAGGTCGACGGGGGGGTGTTGCTGGAGGCGGCTGTGGAGGAGGGAGTGGTTTGCACTCTGGAGGTTGGAGTGGTTTGCGTTGTGGAGGAGGGAGTGGTTTGCGCCGTGGTGACGACCGTGATGGAGGGGATGGTCCCTTCGATCGTGGTGATGCGGTCGCATATGGACGACATGTTGGCCTTTATGTCGCCGAGAGAGGCGGTGACGGAGGTTCGGAGGGTGTTGAGTGCATCGAGGATGGCGGAGAGGTCGAAGGTGGCGGTGTTTGTTGGTGGTTGTTCGCCTGCGAGGTTGCGGGCGATGCTATCAACTGAGTCGGTGCGGATGTCAGACATGTTGATGGAGGATGCGGCCATGTTAGGGGAAGAGGGGGTGGAGGACGTGGCTTGAACGGGTGTGGAGGATGCCGCAGCAGCGGTGGCGGTGGCAGCAGCGTGTTGGGAGTTTTTGGTTTGGCGTGGTGCATGTGGAGGGTGGGGGGGGAATCCCTTATTTATTTATCAATAAATTCAAAAATAAAGATAATCGCCAATTTTTTTTCCAAAAAATAAACGCTGAACAGAAAGAGATAATTAATTTCGAAAAAATAAATTCTGATTTAGATTTAAATTTATTTACAAGAAAACGTGAAATTTCRAAAAGGAAATATTTTGCGAATTACGGGGAAATTTTTTTTGAAAAGAATTAGGAAGAGGAAATTTTTCAAAATATTTGGCAAGAATTTTTCAAAGGAAAATGTCAACATTTCAAAAAAAAGATAATTAATTTCGAATAAAGAGATTAATTCAGTCGTGAATTAATTGAATTTAGTCAAAATTAATTCAGGGGTTTAGAATAACATTTTTAAAAGAAAAGTACTTCCGAATTGTAATAAGGGTTTCGAATTTCAACAAAAATTACGAAAAGAAATTGTGAATTTAAAATACTGGGAAAAAGAATTAATTGGAATTTATTTTTGAATTTCCAAAATAAATATCGAAAAATAAATTTAATTAATTTTAACGTATTTTCAAACTTTTCGAAAAGAAAAACGAATGAATTGAAAGTAGTTTCGAATTTCAAAGAAATGTCGAAAAAGAAAAAAAAATCTAACGTATTTCGAGTTACGAAATAGGAAAGAGTTTGATTAATTCTAAAATGTTTTCCAAATTACAAAAATTTCGAAAAAAAATAAGGAATGTTTTCGAATTATGAAAAA